GAATATTCGTTTCGGGTTTGAAGATCTAATTTCAAACCCAAAATTTACTCCTACTAATAAAAAAAGTTAAATTGGTAATTTAAGTGTTTCATTTTTAAGGGGACATGGTAGAATTTACGCAAAATGTTTTAATTTAAGAATATTCAAAAAATTTCGTGGCCTCTTATGTGTGTATAAATGTAAAACAAATTTTCTGCCCAACATTTCATAAAAGGAAATTTCTGCCCAACATTTTCAGCATTTAATTTCTTAAGGAAAAAACTTAAAATTTGTGAAGTGACTTTAACATGCTACTCCTCCAACAAAAATGTACGTACACGCATGAAATTTGATTTAAAAGTACATATCAAACTGTAAATAAAAAAATTGCTGTGGTTTTGTTGATAACAAAATATTTGTACAATATTTCTTTTATGAATCCTTATTGAAAATTAATTTAAAAATATAAACTTTTGAGTTCAGTTATTTTTATAAAAAAATAAGTATTGATTTGATTCAAAAATGCATGCCTACTTTTTATCATATGTATTATTCAGAGAAAAAAAAAAAGAAGGTAAAAAAAATTCAAAGCATTGGATGCAATAGAAAAAAAAGCATTAGCATTTTAAATGAAGACAAACTAGTTATTTTATCTTTCTGAGATAAGTTTTTTGCAAAAAGTTTTTGATTTGCCATAGGGATGTGAATAAAAAGGAAGGTAGAAGATATCAGAAGACGCATTTTTTAAGTTTATTGCTTTCAAATTTTGTGAGGTCTTAGAAAAATATATAAATGATATAATTTCGCGCGGGCAAAAAATTAGATTTCGTTAATTTTTATATCGATTTTTATCAATTGAATCGTACTATGTCTCCTTTTAAAATGAAATTTGTATTAGAGTGATTTAAAAATTATCATAAACAGTTATATACTTTTAAAAATTGGTCACACTAAATATTAAAATTAACATGTACTTTATTTTGTATATTGGCTAACTATTTAACATGTGGTGTAAAATTGATACTTGCTTTTCACATTGATTATAATTCAGTTTATAGTCAAAATTTGCAAATTTGTTATTAGTGAGCCATTTTACAAATTTGAAATTTTTGAGTTGAATTTACACTCATCTGATCAAAATCTCAGCTGAAAAATTATTTTCTTCAAAAATTTAATATTAACATCAAAAAAGGCTACTTTTTTTCACATAAAAATATAATTTCAACCAAAAACATAATTTTATTGTTTTGTTAAAGTGCATCGGTAATGTACACTGGCACTTTTGTCTTCCTCCTTGATGATTGAAAAGAGCAGGAACTTAGAGTTTTATGTATATGCTGTCAGCATTTTCGTAATTCTCAATTAACAAGATATAGAATACTTTGGCTTGCAAAGTAAATTTTTTATAAGGAACTCACATGGGATCATTTACAATCTGTATTTTGTCTCCACAGCTACATTTTGCAATATGGTAACAAGATACTTCCCAAGAAAAATAACATAATGCTCCACCATAAATAATGATAACCGCAATCATTTAAACATTCTTCCACGGAATTTTATGGTTAGTGATCATTAGACTTTTCAAATTGCATTATTTTTTCAAATTATTAATGCTCTAGGTTTAGGGGGGGCGAGACTTAAGAAAGCACTGACGTACAAAAATTTGATTTATATTAGTCACAAAAAATATTCAAAACTATGGTGATATATTCCAGACATTTTCAATATTTAAGGTCATTTCAAAATTAGTAAATGAACTTCGAGTTACAGTTATTTAAAAAATTGTTTTGCTGTGATCAAAACTAGCTTTTTGTCTGATACTGATGTTCAATTTATTCTCCATTATATTTTTAAATATTTTATTTTTGAGATTCATTTAAAGACAATTGAATGACATGTGTGCATTTTTTAGTTTACCAGGAGGTCTTAGAAAAATATATATGCTAAAAAAAAATTAGATTTTTTTTTTCATTTTATCAATTGAAGTTTATTCAAAAGAAATTTGTATTAGAGTGATTAAAAATCAGTTATAGTCTTTTAAAAACCATGTTAACAAATACAAAATTGTAATTTTCTTTTTTCTTCCAGTACAAAATTGATTCAGAAAACCCACTTAGTTCTTTATTTCTCTGTAATTTGCAACAGGTGTTTCATTTTGTATAAAAAGTATTGTGTACCCTCAGATGGTCTGAAAATCCTCAGATGAATTTTAAAAAGTTAATATTGAATTACTTTGCCATACAAAACTAAATATTTAAGTTATTTTATATAAAACTCTGTAAAAGCAAAGGAAATTTACCCGTAATGTAGTGTGGTTAAACTTGATTCCCGCCATGGATAACGGTAACTAAATACCCCATAATTTCTATGAAAACTTTCAATTTTGAACTAATCCAAGACATCCTAGATTAAAAAGGTTCTGATTTATTTCTCAACATAACATTTCTCAATGAGTAAGCAATGTTTGCCAAATATCAACTAAACTATGTACTAAAACACGTTCAATAACTTCAAATACCTTAAATGAACTTTATTTAAGTCATTGGATTGCCTTACATATAAATGGGCAATGAATTTATGAAAATATCTTCATCATAAATTTGCATCATAAAATGAATTTACTTTTAATTCGATGACCCAGAAGAAATTTGCAGATGTTATTTGTAAGTAAAAAATGCTAAATTCTGACTTACATTTTCTTTATTCATTGTTATCATTCAGATTATTCACTTCTTGAAATAAACTTGTATTTTTAAAAATAAAGAAAATATTTTCCAAAAATGATTATTATTATGTCCTTTTTGAATTCAATACTTTCAAAAAGTTCATCTGGTGTTCCTAAATTTTAGATTATACATAAAACCTCCATTCCAAAGCACCATTCTAGTAATTTTTCAATATTGCTATACTGTTATTGACAGCAATGGTTTCCTCCGTCATTATTTTACAGTTTTTTCTTTACTTCTTGTGTAATGCAGAGTAACATATTTCCTTAATTTCCTCTCTAGAAGTTCTTTCATAATCTATTTTTAGATCATTTACTGTACTTTTTTTATCCGTCTTACGTATTCTGTAATAATGCACAATTCTTTTTTCTTTTAAAAGAAAATAATGATAACTGATTAAATTGCAGTAGTATTTGTATTTAAGAGCATAAATAAAAAAAACTGTTGTTAAATTTATTTTCAATGGATACTTTTTATAAGAAGTTAATAGTCTCTTTATTGTTATCTGCATTTTGGATCTATTTTACCCATTTTATTAACAATAATATATATATGGGGAAGGTGGATCCATAAAGCATTAGTTAACTTTAAATCATTGGCTTCAGCAACAACTTTAGAAATCATAATAGGTCTCCAGTTTAATCCAGACTCTTTTTGTATTTACATTTGTTGTATATCTTGAACTCCAATTTCTTTCTTCTTTGCATTGTAGGTTTTAGAACCTTTTCACTTTTTTTTTTTATTTTATTATACTGTATATATATATATATATATATATATATATATATATATATATATATATATATATATATATATATATATATATATATATATAAAATACGTTTTTTCCTTCTTAAATTTCTATTCTAAGGGTCTTGTAAATTCAATGTTTCAATGAATTTAGTGCGTACTTTAATTCTGCATTCCATTTATCCATGTATTTTATTTCTAAACTCTATTTTAATTTTCAAGAATTTCACTGTGTGTATGCTTTTGGATTGAATTTGGCTTTAATCGTGTTACAGTTATTATTATCTCGAATTTGAAAACCAAGTTCAGATTAAAAAGATTTTTCTCCCTTCCAATATTTGATGATGTCTTCCTAGAACACATTTCATGAAATTCATTTAGTTTTTGTATAATATTTTTCATGCTGGTGAAAAAAATATTTATCTTTCGATAAATTTTTAATAATTTTTTTTAATAGTCTTTCGATTTAGTATTAGTGTAATATATTTGAAAATGTTATTTTCAGATCTGTTTCTTTTTCTTGCATAATGAATGTATTTTGTTCGTTTTTTGTTCGAAAAAAAATTGAGTTGGTGCAATCATTCTTAAAATTCAATAAAAAAAAGTCATTTAACTCGGCAAACTTTTGTCCCCACCTTACTTTTCCACCTTTAATATTTGCTTTATCCATCATTTTAGAAAATATATGAGGCTTGTCGTGAATATCCAATGCAATTTTTTTTTCTGTACAAAACTGATTTCCACAAAATGATACTATCAGATTTTGGATATTTTTATTATTATTGAACACTTTTTTAATACTTTTTTTTCAAAAACTTAATTTAAGTGGTCTTTCCCCGTGTAAGATACTAATTTAAAAATCCTTAATCTTTTTTTTTTTATTTTTGATGATATATATGCATGCACTTTTACATTTGATACATTTATTCTTAATTAACTTATATTTTAATATTTCATTGGTTTCATTTTGTTTTTCAACAGTGATTACTTTATGTTTGAAATTTTTGTTTAGTTTTAATTCTAAAAATCAGTTTTTAGTAAATAATGTTTTTTACACTCTGCTTGATTCAAATTTAATGAGGAATCCATTGTTTTTTAATTTTTTACGATGCTTTCCAATTACTTTTAACAAACTGCTTGATTTGTCTCCTTTTAAGGCAAAATTATGTAAAAGTAAGAAGAGCACAAAAAATTTTCATCAGAAGTACAAAATTTTTTCCACAATTTACTCCTCTTCTCCCCTCCTCCTCTTATTTTTTTCTGTATTTCAAAGTGAATTAATTTTGTCTTTTTTTATAACAAATAATATTAAACAAAAAAATTCAAGCCAATTACTACTTAGGTTAACAAAGTAAAATTCATTTTAGTTCCTTTTTATTAAAAAATTACATTTAATTCAAGTATTTATATAAATATAACATCATCATAATATTAAGTGTCAAAAAGTAAAACGTTTTTCCTTTCTATATATGTCGTGCTGGACTATTAATTCTTTTTTGTTACTATTTATTCACTCCTACATGACATTCTCAGAAATAAGGCAATCCCAGGTAGAATTCGAACCTACAAGCATTGGGTTAGATGTCCAACGCACTATACATTGCGCTACAGGGACACAACGAGGGATTTTCTTTTTATATATAGTGTTGTACTGTTATTTTTGTTTGTTACTATTTATTCTTTAATTAAATTTAATGAATGAATTAATATTGGAAAAACTTGTATTAATATCAAGTGACAAACACTATAAGTTTAAGAATATATATATTTTAACTTGAGTGGATGAATAAAAAGTATTTTATTAACGATTGAAAAAAATTTGCACAAGATATATATATATATACATAGGGAGAATATGAATTAATAGTCGAAATTGAAAAAAATTTGTGCTTAGGGTATCCGACTATGTTCGGAACCATGATCTTAAAAAATCACATAGATAATTTGCATGATATTTTGTGTTACTCAGATTAAAATACATGCATAAAATTATTTTAAGGATATTTTGACAAAAACAATTATTTAAATATGATATTTTGCTAAAAAATTAACTTAGAATAATCTTTTTTTCCAAATATTCTCCTTTTATGAAAAATGGTTCTATTATAATAATATTTTACCCGTATAAAGCTCAGACCTCCTCAAAGAGGCTCGACTAGAATTTTTGAAAAATTCACATTATTTTCAGAGTTAGCTCCAATTGAAATAATTATTCGCATTTTTTCTTAAAATTGCTCTTCTCTAGTGTCTTAAAAAGATGAATAAACCCACTTCTAAGTTATATATTTCAAAAATTCTAGTTGAGTCTTTGAACAGAGAGGTCTAACCTATATAAAGGCAAAATATTATTCTAATAGAAGCATTTTTCACAAAAGGAGAACATTTGGAAAAAAGATTCTTCTACGTTAATTTTTTGCCAAAATATTGTATTTAAAAAATTATTTTTGTCAAAATGCCCTTAAAACAATTTTATGCATACATTCTAATCTAATTGATACTAAATATCATGAAAATTATCCATTTATGAGCCTTTGAAAATCACGGTTCCGAACGTAGTCGGATACTTTAAAACATATTTTTCTCCGTTATAATATCTCTTCTTTAAATTCATCATTTAAATTTATCTCATCCTTCTTTCAAGTATCATTAAAAAAGGTTTAACAATTCCAATTGCTAATTCATTTTATCCGCTTGACTATTTGTAGCACATCAGAATGTAAAGGTTATGCATGGAGATTAAATCAAATATAAAAATCTTCATTACACTCTTTGATACCCGAATAGTTGTGTTTCCTAAGATGTACTTCTCATTTGTTTGAATATGTAGAAAATATCATTATTTTTTCTTGTGTAGTGCAATAAATCACACTAACATGCCTCATTACAAAAAATTCAGCTTTGTTTATCAAAGTATCGAACTTTCTTTTTCTTAGATACATCTTTTATCCCCCATTATGTCTAACATTTCTTTAAGTGAATGTAAAGAAAGGTGCAATTTTCTCAAAGGGCAATTTTATAAATTGTTTAGATGAATTAGAATAAAGATTTTTCTTTACACCAACAAGTTTGTTTCAGGCTTGACAAGTTCTTGTTTCATCATTTTGAGTCAAAAATCTTTTTCTGCCATTTGGTTGTAAATAATATCAGATAATGTTTATTCGTCTCCTTTTATTTGGATTAACAAGCTACTTGAATATGATTTGTGTTTACTTTCTACAATGAGTTTGTTTGTAGATACTCTTTCAATTTATTTTCCCTGTGGTATAGGGATTTTTCCAGGAAATAAATAAAAAATAGTAGAATCTCAACAGTAATGGAAAATTCTAATAGTTAAGATTTCAACTTAATCTACATTCAGCTCAGAGAAACAAAACTGTTTTTGAAGGGGAAAAGTCATCCTCTTCAACTGTAAATTATTTAAACTATCTTAAAAACAAGCACAACATTTGTTAAACTATGAATCATAGATATGTTATTCCATTATTTCCTACGTAATAACTCAACTCCAATGATATCTTTACTTAAATCCTTATATTTATAAAACTTTTCATTAAAATTACCTAAATTTTCACTGCTACATAACATAAAATTAAATTTTTCAGAATTTTTTTGTCGTAGGCTTCTATCATAGACTGAAGAAAATATGGGTTGTAACTTGTGTTATTTCTTTCAAAATGCTTTTCACAATACCAACTACCATTCTCCGAATAAAATGAAGCTTCCTTTGTTCTATATTTATTTAAAGCAGTTGCACTGCATCCAAGATTTGGAATGGAAGCTGGTAATATACTTTGCTCAAATAAAAATATCATTTTAATTGTGCATCTATAAGTTTTGTTTCTCAGTTTACTCCTTCAGGATCGATTTTCATATAATGCCCACGGTATGAAATTATAATGAAGAGCGAAATTTCAAAATAACGTTAACAAAAATGAGTTACGCGCGCTTCTGCGCATGCAATATATGACATCTTTGATGGGTGTGAATTTCCATCTTCCGATTCACAATAGGTTTTATGGTTTCACCAGCTGGTCAAGGACAAGAACAACACCCATCGATTGTCCCTGGATTTTTATGATCAACCAGCTGGGGAGTGACCAGTGCACGTGGCTATGGGGCCATTGTTTATTGTCTGAACTCAGGGAGTGGAGACAGCAGACGGGTCGCCATAATGGACTTAAAGAGTTCGGCGCCCCATTGACAATAGGCGAAACCTATCTCAAAATAATCATGTCATCTTTTCTAGGGTTTTGTGAATGGAATACTAGAAACAGGTGGCGTGATGGACAAGTGTGTCCAGATGTGGACAAGGAACTATGGCGCCTTGGGCCAGACGGCTCGGGTGTGTTTTGGCGTGTTATGCGCCAATAAGAAGAAGGAGGAGATCAATAGAGACTTTGGTGACCTGCGAATAAGAAGGAGTGAGGGGCGTGTTGTGAACACACCCCTGATGTTTATAAGGGTTCTTTTGGAGACGACAGAAAAGAAGAGATGACCCGAAAGGAGAGGTCGAGGAACAAGGGACAAGAGAGTCCGGGAGAGAGAACGGACGGAAAGAGACTGAAAGAGAGTCGGGGAGAGAGAGAGTGAAGCCCGCCTAGACAGGGAAAGAAGAAGTGACCCGAAAGGAGAGGTCGAGGAAAAAGGGACAAGAGAGTCCGGGGAAGAGAGAACGGACCGAGAGAGAGAGGAGACGGAAAGAGACTGAAAGAGAGTCGAGGAGAGAGAGAGTGAAGCCCGCCTAGACCGGAGAAAAAAGAGCACGAGAAAAAGAAGAGAAAATAGCTCGGAAAAGAGAAGGGCTGGTCGGTTGATGAAGTGGAGAGGAGAATCCCAGAGTTTTGCTCGGTGATGCTGTCCAGGAATCCGAAACGCGAATGAGTAAATACGCCTTGCAGACCGGACGGAGACAAGCTGTGGAGTGAGCGACCCCAAAACGGGGTCAACCATACTGGCTAGTCACGGAAATTATCAACTTCTTAATCTAACTAAAATCAATTTTCCTATTGGAGAAAAAAATTAAAAGTATTTTTTACTCCCACAACCTTGCTGTGATGTATTTTTTTCACGATACCATCTGACGACGTTACAGCAAGATATAATTTGGTGGCAGCTTTGTGAGATAGGCATTTTTGTGAATAGATGCCTCGAACCCTTTATTGAGAAGAAAAAAATAAACGCCAGCCGTATGGAGTTATACCCGCCTGATTCTCGCACAACTTGTGAAAGAAATGTGTTTCGTCGAATTACATGCAACAAGAAGTGACCGGAGTGCCTTGCTCGTGCCCGTGTGTTAATGAAGCGTGCCCACCTGAAAGGTTTCCCGGAATTCCTGTGTTTTCCTGCTTGTGAAGAGTGCCCGCGAAGTGCCTGCCTTCCGTTTTTTCCCGGAGAAGGATGAGGAAGATGTTTCCAGTGTCTCCACTTGCAATGTTAAGGTCAGTCTTTTTCTTTGAGTATCGTATCGGGGCAGCAATACATTATTTCTAGTTTATGTAAAATTTTATAAGGAAAGTAATGCTAGATAAAGTTAAAAGTCTAGATTGAGAGACTACAGAAATTATTGTTTGTTTGAAGTGTATTGATGTGTTATGTTTGTATGTGTGTTTGTTTATTGAGTTAGGTCGTAGTATACAGTAGTATACTTGCTTCGTTAGCACAGTTTTGCGTAGTGTATTGTCACGTTACTCTGAGTTTTTTTATCATTTTGTGAAATATAATTAAGTCTCAGTGTAGGGTACTGTTAGTTATGCTAGTTATGAGTATAATTTTGTGAAGTATAATTAAAGTCTAGGTCTAGTGTACGGTTAGTTACGTTTGGTAGTTGTATAAGTTTGTGTAGTACAACTAAGTATAGTGTATAGTGTAGAGTTGATTTATGTTGAATATTTGAATTGTTTTAGAGACAATTGAGATTGGATTTAGTGTTGTATTTATTAAAGCATGATGGCGTTTCTTTTAAAGCAAACAAAAGAAGTATTGTTAGAGGTTGCGATAGATTTGGGAGTCGAGGTCAATAGTACTCTAACCAAATCAGAAATTAAGAATAGAATTTGTCAAAGTAAATACTATGACGAAGAGTCAGTTAAATGTTTGTTGGAGGGTATTTTGGAAGAAGAACGTGAAAAACAGGAAATTAAGGAATACGAAGAACGTAGACTAGCTAGGGAACGTGAGTTAGAAAGATTGAGAATTCAACTCAGAAATAAGTTAAATGAAAATAAATTGAAGGCAGGGAATAGGATTAGCGATCTCGCAAATGTTTGTATTTTGTCAGGAAAACGTACCGCAGAAGTTAGTGAACCGGTTAATAAGTGCAGGCCTTTAATTAACCCGGTAGTAAATAAAAGCGTGGAGAACGCTACGTCTTGTGATTTTGAAAAGAAGAATTGTGACCCCCCAGTGAGAGGTACGAACGTTTCCCACCCATCTGAAGTAGGAAGGAAAGAATTCAACGTGAATAGGAGTAGTGATGGGGACGTGGAAATGAAAGTAGGGGTATGTGAAGGAAGGGTCAAAACTGTGGCGATGGGTGCACAGCGGGTAATAAATCTGGATAATATCGGAGATGGCTCTTTTGAATTGAAAAGAGATAAGGGAGTGGCGTACCCTGAA